ATCGAATGATATGTATATGCATCAAAACATTCAGGGGAAGATGTTTACTGATGGAAGTAGGTACACTATTCCAAGGCAAGAACACTTCTCGAATGCCAATACCAATGTTCAGGATTGGGCTATCAATACTAATACCACCCACATGTCAGCACCTGTCCAGTCTCATTTGGATGGTGGAGAGTTGGGTCGGAATTGGTTTTCAGGGGAGCATCGAGTCCGTGGTGGCTGGTCCACTTTGGACACTAGTGTTGTTGGCCCAACCCAGACCGTAATAAATAGAAGCAGTAATCCAGATCAGAGCTTATTTGGCATTGTGTCTCAATGTAATGAGGTACGTTCTGGTGCCCCTTATGACTCAATGGGCTCCACTGAAAAACGGTTCATTCAGTCAGGGAGCTATGGTAGAGTGGGTGAAGTCGTCCCCACAGCAAGCAATATGTTGCCACCGACAGCTCATCCACTTGACTACTTGAGTGGGCATGAAGCTGCTGCCCCTGTAAAGAACAACAATATAAGATGGATGAACAGCGTGCCACATCAGAATTCTGCTTTACATGACTCAATGGGAAAACCATTCTTGAGGCCACGCGTCCTGGAACAAATGAGGACTTCTTTGGTCCCTTTGTTTGGGCAGGTGGATTTCCAGTTTCGAGCATGGTTGGTAGTTAGGATGCACACAGATGCTGAACACAAGATGCGTGTGACAGGAGTTTTTGGGCTCTAATTATTTTTAGGACTAAGGTTTAATCAGGGTTTTCTTAGTAGCTGATGGAATTTTGTACATACATACAGGAGAGCCAATCCAACACTGTATATATATCTAAGTTTTATAGACGGGGAGGAGGTGAGTTGTGAGGATAGGGGAAAGAATCAAGGGATTTCTGGTATCAAGGGGTGAGTCAGTCATAAATATAGTTCCTTTTTCTTTGGGATTTTTTAGTTTATTAAACTAATAAAGGTTGCCATTTTTTTAGCTTATTGGTTTCCCTATTTTGCTTTTGCTTGTTTATATATATTCATTGTTGTCATCCGGATATATGGCAAGATGTATATACATATATAATAACTTTGGAATGTTTAGCCTATTAAGCATGTTTATGTTTAAGGATCTATTGGTTATATCGATTTGTTGAGTTCTTATTATCGAGGCTGCTGCATCATTCCTTCAATTGTGATAGATGGGGAAGGTCAATTATCATTGTTGGTTCTTCTTTGTTTGTTTGTGTGGGGATATATTTTCTGAGTACCAACACGTGGCAAGGTGACGCCGACGTGTCAGCCGAGGTGCCACGTGTCCTGGTCGTGATGCCGAGGTGATCTCGGCAAGGCCGAGGTTATCCCCGAAGATATCGGAAACCGAGATAAGCGGATAAGGGACAAGAGTCCTAGAATGAAGAGGGAACTCAACTTGGATATGGACAAGAGTCTTAGATTGGGAGAAGACTTCAGTTTGGGTAAAGATAAGACTCTTATAGAGTTTATCCTAATCCCACTAGGAGTCCCAGATTAGCAGTAATCCTAAGTCCATTAGGGCCAAGCTCCTTTTGGGACTAGGATTGTATTGGCTATAAAAGAGAGGCACCCCCATGGGTCTAAGGTATGCTTTTGATACTCAAGCTTGTGAGTTTAGTACTTGATTTATCTTTAAGAGATATACTGACTTGATCGTCGGAGTGCCCCCGGGTGGTCGAAACCACCGCGGGATTCTTATATTTCTGTTGCAGGTCCGTCATGTGCCATCTATTCTGCCAGTGCTCTCCAGCTGGTTACTAAGCGGACAGTGTGGTCAAAAAATCACCCACACAATTTGGCGCCGTCTGTGGGAAAGAAAGAAGAATAGATGGCCAATGACGGACAGAAGGATCAGATTAGAGACAATGCTCCTACTGGGAGTGGGAGACTGTAGACACCCCATTTTTGACCGACCTTAAGACTCAAACGTCACCGATTGAGCGCTTGGTGATGTTGCATAATGTGCTCATTCAGAAGTTTCAGAGTCTTGGCTGCGAGCCCTGCCTCCGGACTTCCGAACCCTCTTCTGTGCCTTGCCTCGGTTTGCGAACCAGACTCAATTTTCTCTGTAAAATATGAAAAATAAAAAATTTAATTTTAAAAAAATTAAAACCAAACAGATTGATTGTTTTTATCGAGCCCTTTGTTTACAATCATGCTTGCCTCCTGCTTGGTATTGGTAATGGTGAAGAATTTTCATAATAAATAAATAAAATTAATTGATGGTAAACGGATGATGCTGAAGAGTTTTGTGTGTTATAGAAAGAGATTTGTGTGTTACAGAAAGAGATGGTTGTGATATAGTTGATTGAAAGTGATCAAGCAAAAGCTAAGGGTAAGTAAGGATTGCATGAATGAGCAACATTAGAGATGCAAAATATTTTGTCAAAATTTTAACATAACACTTGTATAGATGTTTCTAAGTGACAAAGCAAAAACAAGTATAAGTGTATGCTGAATTAGCAATGTTAAAGATACAAAATATTTCATTTTTGACATGACACTTATATAAATGTAAAACGCATGTATGATCTACATTGTTTGGTAAATTTTTTAATAAAATATTTGGGGTCTCCTATTATGGCCATTCATATTATTATTTATTAACATATTATTCGTGCTAACAGATAATCAAAATTTGGTTTCTAAATTAAAATAATAATGTGGGTGTTTGGGAAGTGAAGGGGCTAAATGTGAAATGGGTCGGGTCTAAGCCTTGGGCCGGCCCAATCCGCTGAAGTCCAAATCCAAGTGGGTTGGATGACTATATGGGCAAACCAATTAAGCCCAACTTCATGACCAATAGTTCACCCAAGTCCTCAAGCACTTGGGTCCAACCCGCAATGGAAAGGCTAGTTCAGCCGTGGTGCTGGGTTGCGCCGAGTTGCGAGACTGAATCTACGGGCCGAACAGAAAATAGGCTGAGCCCATGCAAAGTTACCTAAATGGACAAGCCCATCTCCATAAGTGATCCTGTAAAAGGCCGAGACAAGGCATAATGATGCCGAGCTGAGGAACATCGGTACCAAGCTGAGGAAACCTCACAAGGAAACGTGGAAGCTGTGAACGTGTGCATGTGCAGGTTGCCACCTCAGCTGGTCCCCTACACCTAGAATCACGGAAGTTGTTGAGCCAAAGGAATGTGGTTTGTTATCAGCATGACTACAATGAGTATATGCATTTATTGGCAACTAACAGTTGGTCCCCCACCATGAGCAATGCCAAAAGGACACCTAGCAGCATCCAAGCTCCATGAATCCACCTTGAGAAGCAAGCAAGGAACAACATATATATACTACATGAACTTCACATTGAAGGTAACTGAATAGAACTGAACTATTCCAAGCAAAACCATATACCCTTCTCCGATCACTAATTCCCACACCGAAGAGGTCATTCGGCCAACCCCGGCCGGTTAGCTCTAACGGTGCCTCTTGTCGCAGGAACTTCAGTCCCTGGATAGTCCAACCGAGTGCGGAGCCCCGATCCACTTTCATCTAGTGCGGAATCCGGTACGCCCAATTGGTGCGGTGAACGTGGACACTTCATCTCTGAGCTTTGCACTCAGTTCCGGCGATGGGGATTGAGGACGTTCCGCCTTCAACACATACTCCACAGACAGAGAAGGCGAAGGATAAAGGTTTGGCACTCTCAACAGTCCCGGAGGAACAAACTGGAAACAATAATCGAACCCCTGAATCCGTCGAGCACCGATTACCCTTTGCTGGAGGCTCCTCTCATCACTTTCTTCTGGAAAAGGATTATAAAGATCGCATCATAGACTCCATGGGAATGAAGATACAGGAGTTGAAAGCCCAACTTAAGAGGGTGCTGGGCGATCCAAGAGAAAAGAAGACGGAAGCGGAGCCCTCTCGTTTGCGACGAAGGAGCTCATCCAGAGAGCCACCAGTGAAGAAGTTCCCCAGGAATGAGTCTGGGCAACAAAGCCAGCTTATCCCGGTACAGAGTGAGGCAGCAAGCAATCACAACTGTGGGTCACGCTGGAAAAGGACCAAGAGGCAGAAGACCGTTAGTCAACAGACCGAATATCCTCCTTAGGACCTTCGTACTTGGTTGATTGGCAATAGGCAGAATGAATAACATCGGGATCATCTGGACCGTACTATTCACCAGAGGGAACATCGAGCGCTGGACAGGCTCGTCTCTTCGCCATTCTCCCTGAAGATCGAGACCATGAGACCTCCAAAGAAATTCACCCCACTAAAGTTCACTTCATACGACGGGAAGTCGGACCCGCTGACACATATTAGCCACTATAGACAGATGATGTCCCTATGGAACCGAGATGAGGCACTGATGTGTAAAGTCTTCCCATCCAGCTTGGGAGAAACCGGACTTCGATGGTTCGATCGTCTCCCCGCTGGATCGATCCATGGCTGGAAGCAGTTCTCCGAAGAGTTCCTAGCCAGGTTCTTCTCCAACACTAAGATCCCGAAGTAGCCGGATACACTGTTCGGCCTCCGAAAAGAGCAGGAGGAAATGCTGCGCAATTATGCTAGGAGGTACTGGGAAGAATACAATGACCTGGAGGAAAATGTGTGCAGTGAGCAGATGGCCATTATGTCCTTCAAACATGGTTTGCGCCCGGAAAGTAAGCTGAGACAATCACTTACCAAGCGCCCGGCCACAGCTTTGAAGGACTTGCGCGCTAGGATTGAGCAGTACGCTTGTCTCGAAGACGATCAAATCCCCATCGAGGTAGCGTTAGCAGAACAAACAACTCAGCATAAGAAGAGAACAGATCGAGGAGAACACCGAGGGATTGCAGTAAATAAGGTGGATAAGTCCAAATCCCATGAAGCCGTTGTGACTGTATTCAAAGAGCCAATTTATCGAATTCTGGAAAAGATCAAGAGAGAGCCGTTCTTTGTTTGGCCGCTGAAAATGTTTGGCCGCCGAAAATGTTAGGAGATCTAGCTCGGCGCAATCAGAAGCTCAGATGCACTTACCACCAAGACAGGGGGCACATGACTCAGAACTGCAGGGCACTGAAGCAACACTTGGAAGACCTAGTGGCAGCTGGACACCTAAGGGATTACATTGATCAGGATAAGGAAATGACCGGACTAGGGAACCCACCACCAGAAGCAAACATTGAGCATCCACCTCGGCTGATAATAAATGTGATCCACGGGACAACGATTCAGGAATCTGAGGAGGCACTGAAGGAAGAGATTGCTAAGGCTGCACAAATTCAGCGGGTCATGTCAGTGGAGCCTGCATCAAAAAAGGTACGTACAGTACCTAAATCCCCCTTGTGCACAGTTTCATTTACTAGCAAAGATTTAGAAGGCATACAGCACCCACATACTGATGCATTAATTATAACTGTGGGAATTGGGAAACGATTTGACGTAAAACGAGTCCTAGTAGATCAGGGCAGTGCAGCAGACATACTGTATTACGATTTATTCAGAAAGCTTGGTTTCTCCGAGCAGCACCTCACCCCAGTGGCAGCCCCGTTGATCGGTTTCAATTCACAGTCAAAATGGCCGCTTGGCAGAATAGTGTTGCCAGTCGTGGCGGGGACAAAAACCCTCCAGATAGAGTTCTTAGTTATTAATACACCATCCCCTTACAACGCCATACTTGGCCGTCCATGGATTCATCGAATGGAAGCAGTCCCTTCAACCTATCACCAGCTCATCCGTTTCCCAACGGAATACGGAGTAGAGCAGATTTCAGGGGATCAAGTTGCATCCAAACATTGCTTCATGGCAGCATTAAAGGCAAAACAGCTCTGCAATCGGGTACAGACGGTAGAAGTGGCCGAACAGCTAGTCTTGGAAGATGTAGGGGGAACCCTAAAGGAAAAGATGGGCCCCGTTTGATGTAGCTGTTAAAACAACTTATAGATTATAGCTTAACAGATTATAGATTATGACTTTAATCAGAAGTTGTTAATCTGTTTGGTGTAGTTGTTGGATTATAGATTTAAGTTACCGAGTAGTGTTTGTTAAATAAGCTGTGAAATAACTTTTTCAATTAATTTTTATTTTTTGTTTGTCTACATTTCTCATAAAAAAAACAATAATAATCTATAGTCCATTTGAGTCTTTTTCTATTTTTAAAAAAATAAAAAATAAAAAAATTTAAGAGTATAACCATAAATTAACATGTCCACAGCAGAAGCTAATAATCAGAAGTAAGGGGTGAGCAGCTTCTCAGAATCAGCTTTTTTATGTTAAAATAAGCTGTTAGAATCAGAAGCTGTTTGAAATAAGTTTAACCAAACAATCCAAAATAAACTTTTCAAAGCTAAAAGCCATAAGTTGGCTCTGAAAAGCTGAAACAAACACTCCCATGGTAGAGGATTTGGAGAAAGTCTTGGTAAAAGAAGACGATTAAAAAAAGTACTTCCTTATCGGTACCTCGCTAGGCGCTGATGAGAAACTTCAGCTGTTGGAACTGCTGAGGGAAAATATGGAGGTATTCGCATGGTCAGCATATGATACTCCAGGGTTGGACCCAGAATTTCCTTGCCACAAGCTTAACATCAACCCTTCAGCTCGGCCCATTGTGCAAAAAAGTCGGAGATCTTCAGTCGAGCACACCGAAGCAGTAATTGCCGAAGTCGAAAAACTCCTGGCTTCAGGAGCAATCAGGGAAGTTCAGTACCCGCAATGGCTGTCCAATACGGTTGTAGTCAAGAAGAAGAACGAAAAATGGAGAGTTTGTATTGACTTCACTTGCTTGAACAAAGCCTGCCCTAAAGATAGCTTTCCGCTACCTCGCATTGATCAACTAGTGGACTCAACAGCAGGGCATTAGCGCATGAGCTTTCTGGACGCTTATAGCGGTTATCATCAGATACCACTGTTCGGTCTGGATTAAGAAAAAACAGTGTTTATCACTCCAAGGGGAACTTACTGCTACAAAGTAATGCCATTCGGCCTTAAGAACGCCGGGGCAACTTACCAGTGAATGATTACACGGATGTTCAAGGACCAACTAGGAAAAACCATGGAAGCATATATAGACGATATGGTAGTAAAAAGCAAGTTCGTTACAGACCATCTTGCAGACTTGAGAGAAGTTTTTGGCATCCTGAAAAACCACCAGCTTCGCCTTAATGCCTCGAAATGCGCCTTCGGGGTAGGAACAGGGAAGTTCTTGGGATACATGGTCACTCACAGAGGAATTGAAGCGAATCCGAATCAGATCAGAGCGATACAGGATCTTGAAGTACCAACAAAGGCTACGGAACTACAGAAACTAGCCGGAATGGTGGCCGCACTGAATCGGTTTATTAGCAAATCCTCAGATCGAATGAAGTCCTTCTTTCAGCTTTTGAGGAAAAATGCGGCATTTAAATGGAGTAGCGAATGTACCGAAGCACTGTAGAGTCTCAAAAGATACCTCAGCACACCTCCTCTATTGTCCACTCCAGAGCTAGGAGAAGAGCTGTACCTCTATCTAGCAGTCTCAAATCATGCCGTGAGCGCAGTGTTAGTTCGAGAAGTTGACAAGGAACAGAGGCCTATCTATTATGTCAGCAAGACTTTACTAGATGCCGAGATACGGTATCTACCGTTGGAAAAGTTAGCATACGCGTTGCTTATCGCCTCAAGAAAGCTGCAGCATTACTTCCAGGGGCATACCATTAATGTCCTCACTGAATTTCCCCTCAGATCCGTATTCAATCGAGCCGATTTCTTTGGTAGAACAGCAAAGTGAGCGGTAGAACTTGGTGAGTTTGACATTCGTATCACCCCAGGACAGCGATCAAGGCCCAGGTCTTAGCGAATTTTGTCGCAGAATTTGCTCCAATCCAGAGTACCGAACCGGGGGATCCAAGTTCGGCACAGGTGCCATGCACCACCGAACAAGGAAAGCCCAGCGCTTCAGAAGCCTGGAAACTCTTTATTGGAAACATTTGGCAGCTCTATGTTGATGGATTGTCCAATAACCGAGGCTCGGGGGCAGGAGTAGTACTTATTTCACTAGAAGGGTTTATCTAGGAACAGGCTCTCAGACTCAGTTCGAAGGCTTCAAACAACGAGGCCGAGTACGAAGCGTTATTGGCTGGCTTACGTAGCGCCGAACACTTCAGTGCAGAATAGCTTCTTGTTTTCAGCGATTCACAACTAGTGGTCAACCAGCTTTCTGGGGTCTATGAAACACGAGATGAAAGAATGGCTATGTACGCAGGCAAGACCAAGGACCTGCTCAAAAAATTTCAATCCATACGAGTAGAACGAATTAGTCGAGCCAAAAACGGCCACGCCGATGCTTTGGCATACCTCGGCTCATCAGTAGATACAAAGGATGCCAGAAGAGTTCGGGTTGAGTTTGTGCCAGAACCAAGTATTGCATCTCCAGTCCTTTGCAACAACTTAGAGCCGAGCTGGATGGATCCAATATTTGCTTTTCTGAAATCTAGTACACTCCCTGAAGACAAAAAGGAAGCCAACAAGATCAGACACAAGTTAGCTCGGTTCTGGATCTCACCATCTGGGAAGCTTTATAGACGCTCATATCTTGGCCCCTACCTCCTATGTGTACATTCAAATCTCGTCGAGAATGTTCTCTACGAAATTCATGATGGGATTTGTGGATGCCACGTTGGCGGAAGGTCACTGGCACACCGAGCCTTCACTTACGGGTACTGGTGGCCACGGATGCAAAAAGATACACATCAATACATACAGAAGTGTGATAAATGTCAGAGATTTGCTCCACTCATCCATCAGCCAGCCAAAACTCTCACCCCACTCACCAGCTCATGGCCCTTTGCGCAATGGGGTCTAGATATTGTAGGACCATTGGCGCAAGGCACTGGGAACAGGCGATTCTTCATTGCTGCAACCTACTATTTCACTAAGTGGGTTGAAGTTGAGCCACTAGCAAATATCAAAGAAGTTGATACAAAGCGGTTTATTATGAGAAATGTGGTGGTGCGTTTTGGCATCCCGCGGGTACTGATTGCGGATAATGGAACACAATTTGATGGAAAGATCTTCAGAAAGTTTTGTGCCGACCTCAAGATTGAGTACAAGAACTCTTCTCCAGGGTACCTGCAAAGCAATGGACAGGTAGAGGCGTCAAACAAGACCATTATCAACGGAGTCAAGAAATGGTTTGAGCATGCCAAAGGGAAATGGGTTGAAGAGTTACCCCACGTGCTATGGGCATATCGAACCACCGCACGGCGCTCAACGGGGGAAACACCTTACTCCCTAACTCATGGAATGGAGGCCGTCATCCCACTCGAAGTCGGCCTCCCAACCCTTCGATCCGAACTGTTTGAGAACACCAGTAATGAGGAAGCTATTGCACAAGCACTGGATATGGCAGGGGGCCGAAGAGAGGCAGCGCTGATCAGACTTGTAGCGTATCAGCAGTGGCTCATCAAGAGTTATAACCAAAAGGTTTTCCCAAGGTAATTTATACCAGGAGAACTGGTCCTAAGGAAAGTTATGGATCACAAAAGGGTGCCTGGCGAGGGCAAACTTGGGCCAAACTGGGAAGGTCCCTACAGAGTCACAATCGTCGTTGGAAATGGAGCCTACTACCTCGAGGATCTGAGTGGCAGAGCTATACCTCGGCCCTGGAACGTAGCAAATCTCAAGAAATACTATCAATAAGATGGTCCCACTTTCTTTATCAGATTGTAAAGGCACTTTTTTCAAATTTATCAAATTCTTGTAATTAGCTTTGATGTTTATCAAACGGAATTAGCTTTGGTTCTTACCAAACAGAATGAATTAGCTTTGGTTCTCACCAAACGTAAATAGCTTTGATGTTTATTAAACGGAATTAGCTTTAGTACTTCCTAAACGGAATCAGCTTTGGCCTTTACCCAAACGGACTTAGTTTCAGAACGACTGAACGGCATTTAAATTTGGTTAGCACTCAAACATGCTAAGTGGTATTGCTTGGTGGAATTATGTTTGGCAACTAAATTGGATTTTAGCCAAGTGGAATTGCTTGGTGGAAACCGCACTAATATATCTTAAGTAAACATCTCTATTTAGCCAAGTGGAATTGCTCGGTGGAAACCGCACTAATGTATCTTAAGTAAACATCCCTATTTAGCCAAGTGGAGTTGCTTGGTGGAAACCACGCTGACATATCTTAAGTAAATATCTTTGCATCCACAGAGTTTCTTAAGTATCAACACGTCAACATGTCAGTACTGACGCGAACAAACAAAGTTGGAACAAACTTGGCCAAGTTCAGCCCGGAGTAGGCCTCCAGCAGTAGTCTTACTCAACTCCAGCTGGGGGCAAACGATTGTTTTTTCAAACCAAGCTGGACCTGAGTAAGACACCTTTTCATGCCTTTACTCCGTTTAGGCGCTCTTATGCTATCAAAGTTGAAACAGACTTCAGCAGTTCTACCTCAGAGAATAATCTTCAGCGCCGATCTTACTTAGCTCCAGGTGAGGGCAAACAATTGTTTTCTTTCAAAACCAACCTAGACCTAAGTAAGACCCACTTACGAACTCCAGCACCGCCATACCACATATCCGTTAGCCACACCGAGCACAAGTTGGGCCTCGAGGTCCCAACAGTGCTCGGTCGGGGGCAAACAGTACAGTTCCACATCGAGCATCAGTTCGGCCCCGAGGCCCCAACAACGCTCGGCTGGGGGCAAGCAGCACAGAATCAGACAGAACATCCATTTAAAGGCAATACAGAACCAGACCGAGCATCTATTCGGCCCCGAGGTCCCAATAGTGCTCGGCCAGGGGCAGACAGTATAGGAAACATTCAAACATAGAAGCCAAACAACATCAGATTGCAAGTTCAAAAAGAAAATTCTATCATCCAACAAAAGGCACAGATGGCCTCATAACCAGCAGCAAAGAAAAATTGTCTTGGCAAAT